AGGAAGAAAAGGGGCAAAGGGGAAGGGGAAGTGGGAGGGGTAGGGGAAAGGAAAGAAGGGAATGGAATGGAATTAATATGAGAAAAAGAAAAAATGGAAACAAAGTCTTTGTAAATGGGGAAGGATGGAGGGATTGAGGGAGGGCGAGGGAATGGGGAAAAAATAAGAACCAAGATGGATTATGTAAACGTGCAAATTTCCAATGATGAATGTCATTATACTGTATACCTTAAATGTACCAATAAAATTAATTAAAAAAAACAACTTGTCAGTACTAGCTATGATGGCTAAAATTTAGAAGCAAAAGTATCAATAATTAAATCTGGAAACAAATGTATCTAAATAATTATATAAGTAAATTATTATATACTCATATAAAACAATATTACTCAGAAATGAAAAGGAACAAATTACTTCTATCACAACATGAATGAATATTACAAGCAAAATCTTGAGCAAAGGCTACCAGGCACAAGTAAGTATAATTACCTACATGAAGTTCAAAACAGGCATGATTTAACCATATTGCTAAAAGTCAGGAGAATGGTTAATAAAGTTGAAAGGGCAGGAAAAGGAATAATCTGGGTCTTGGAGAAATGTTTGTGGAGGAATTAGTGCAACTGTGAATCCATTACATTTACAGAGGGCTGTTGACAAGACCTTTGTTTCAAATGTAGCAATTTCACGTCAAAGAATTTACCTACACTTCTTTGAAGCAGCGTTAGTGATTATAAAAGAGTGGAAATAACCAAAGTGTCCATCAAAGTTAATTGCTCAAATAAATTCAAACAGTCCTATAATGGAATAAGATAGAGACATAAAGAATTATAGCAATTCTTTAATTACCGACATGAAAACACTTCAAGACAAATTCAGTGAAAAACAATCAGGATATAGCATTGCATCCAGTAGGCTACCATTTATATTAAAAAGGCAAAAATATTTATACATAAGAAATATGAACTATCATTGTCCTTGTTCCTCCTGGTAAGCACTTCAAGAGCTGGAGGTATTTGTCATCCCTCTCCAAGATCTTCCCTGACAGTCACTTCAACACTATTCAGAATTTCCTATTTTTAATTTTTTTAATTTTTCTACTCTTTAAATTTGTCTTTTTCCTTTCTTCTTTTTCTTGTCTTTCTCTCTCTCACTCTCTCACTCACTTGCTCTAAAAAATTGTTTTTCTCTTATTTTTAATTTTTAATTTTAATTTTTTAATTTTTCTACTCTTCAAATTTGTCTTTTTCCTTTCTTCTTTTTCTTGTCTTTCTCTCTCTCACTCTCTCACTCACTTGCTCTCCCACATTGTTCTTTCATCTCCCTTTTTGTTCCTGTTCCTGCCCTAATTTGGATTCCTTCTTTCTTTTTCGTTTCTTCTCTTTTCCCTTCTCTCAATTGTCATTAGTTTCAAAGGAAAGTGAATAAAATTCCTAGCTTCCCTATCGCTGTTAGGTTTTTCTGTTCTTATCTTTGTTCTTACAATCTGTCTTTTCCTCCTGTATTCAACAGTTTCCTAGAGTTTGCATGATCTTCCTAGATCCTCTAGCCTTAGTTCTAACCTCTCCCTATCCTTCTACCTATCTATCACTTCCTCCCCAACTCCTTCTAAGTCCCCATCCTGAAGAGTAAAGTTGCTATATTGAAGAATTTATTCACTATAAACATATTTTGGGTGGGTCCTTGATTTTGATTTAATTTGCATGGTTAAAGGTGATAGATTAATAACTACCACAAATTGGGCCAGGGATTTAGGTCAGTGGTTTTGCTGCCTGCTGCGCAAGTGCAAAGACCTGAGTTTGATCTCCAGTACCAAAAAAAAAAAAATAACTACCACAAATTGTCATTTTATAACCTATGCTTGATGCTATTGGTGTTGCTGATTGTATCAGTTGGGCTAAGATGTTGTGATTGACCTAATCAGTTATTCTTCCTGGTATGGTGAAAATGAGATGGCCTCAGAGTCATTAGAGACTCGAAACCTAAAGACCAGCTATATCTGGGGCTGGGGATTTAGCCCAGTGGTTCCGTCGCCTGCCTCACAAGTGCAAGGACTGGAGTTTGATCCCCAGTACCAAAAAAAAAAAAAAAAAACCAGCTATATTGAGGATCAGGTTACTTCTAAATAACTTTGTTTCAAACGTGCATATAGCAAAACCCAAAAAGACAAAACAGGAAGACCAAATATCTGGGCCCCTGAGTCCCTTCCTCCTGCTCCCCACACATGGCCGTACCCTGCTTTGCCCTGCTCTGCGGGTGAGGGACTCTGGCAGCCCCAGAAACAGAGGAAGTGAGAACGTGAGGGTGAGGGAGAGAGGGAGGAAGGGAGCCCACTGTAGAGACGCCGCCCACCTGTGCTACTCACAGCAGCTAAGTGCGGAATCAGCCCAGCGCCCGTGGACAGATGTGTGGACGGAGAAAGTGGTGTCTGTGTCCATACACGATGGAGCACTGTTCAGCCATAAAAGAATGGGATCGTATGAAATCGTGTCGCGGGAAAATGGATGGATCCGGAGCGTATCATTCTAAGCAAAATAAGCCAGGCATGGAAAGACAGAGTGTTTTCTCTTACACGTGTGTGTAGGGGGGAGACTTGAAAATAGTAGAGGGGCTTTTGGGGAAAGTGAAAGGGACTGGGGGTGGGGGTGGACATGATCAAGGCATTGTATATGTAAATGTTGCAGTGAAACCCATTCATCTATATAAATACATTTATATTTATTATAATTATATAGTAATTAGATATGCTATAATTTTAATTTTTCGGTGTGGGACTTGAGGGTTGAACTCAGGACTTTTGCCCTAAGCTACAGTATATCCCCAGTTCTTTTCATTTTTTATTTTGAGGCAGGTTCTTGCTCCTTTGCTAAAATGCCCAGATTAGCTGGGCATGGTGGAGCACCCCTGTCATCCCAGCACTTGGGAGGCTAAGGCAGGAAGGTTTCAGTGAGTTCGAGGCCAGCCTGGGCTACATAGTGATTTCAGGATCAGCCTGAACTACACAGTGAAACCCTGTCTGGAATGAATGAATGAATGAATGAATCCCCAAGTTATGCCCAGACTTGTGTTCCTCCTCCCTCAGCTTCTGGGAGTCCTAGGATTATAGGCATGTGCCACTACATGAGGCTGTAATGAAATTTTTTTAAAGAAACACTCATCCAGGTTCTCTCCAGCTTCAACACAGAGTGGCCCAGAAGATGAAACCCCATAATGCCTTTCTTGGAGGATTGTCCTCTGGTCAACCACATAGAAGATACTTAAAAGTCACACCCTGGGCCTGGAGCTGTAGTTCAGCTATAGAGCGCCTGCCTAGCATATATGAGGCCCTGGGTTCAATCTCCAGTATCCTATACACACAGAAAAGTTACCCTCTTAGTCAAAGAGAAAGAATTATGTAGCAAACACTATCCTAAGCTATTCCTTCAGGTGGGTCCTGTATCACCAGCACCTCACACAGAGGTTACTGTTTCCGATAGTTTCAATTTTTTACAGCAAAAATGGGACTAGAACAAACATCTATATGTTTGCATAAAGTGTCCTTCTGGTTGAGTTTCTCTAAAATAAAGATGATACTATTGTATACAGGGCTATGAATATTACTATGTAACTCTAAATTTCTTTTTTTTTAAGTCATAGAGTGGATTTATTCAGTAGTGATGCTTCAGGCGTGAGGACAGGAAACTGCCTCAGTGATGCAAAACCGGCTAGATGCTGCCCCTGAGGACCAAGGATTGGACTGAGAAGGAATGGGAGGACATTTCCTAGGATAATAATAGTGTCTGTTTTGAGAAGGGTTTGTGTTACACAGATGTATACATTTATCAAAACTCAGCAAATGTAAGTTTAACGTTTGTGCACTTCATAATATGCTGATTTTACTTCAAAAGGAAAAAATGTTATCAAAAAATTTTCCTCTAGTTAGTGATATGGGTGTTAAAGTGTTTAGGGGAAGTGTATAGATGCCAGCAATTTTCTTTGAAGTGCAACTAGTATCTAAAACGGGTGGATGAATAGAAAGAAGAATGGATAAACCAGGTGCAGTGGTGCACACCTGTAATCCCAGCACTCTGGGAGGCAGAGGCAGGAGGATTGTAAATTTGAGCCCAGCCTGGGAAACTTAGGGACTTAGCAAGACCCCGTTTTAAAATAAAAAATAAAAAGGGCTGGGGATGTAGCTCAGTGCAAAGTTGCTAGGTTTGAAGCCCAGCACCCCTCCACACACACAAAGGAATGAATAGATACAATAAAAGAACTTTTAAAGTAAGACCTTGATGGTGAAATATGGGTAGTGGGTAAATGAGTGCTCATAATAAAGTGGGTTTTTTCAAACTTTCTATATATTTGAAAATTTTTATACAGTAAGGAAAAACTGGGCATAGTGACACATGTGTGAAATCCCAATATTTGGGTGGCTGAGGCAGAATTTCTAGTTCAAGGCCAGCATAGGCTACATAGGAAGATCCTGTCTCAGTCAAACCAACAAACCAAATGACAACAAAACTCACAAAAAATTGTAAAATTAACTGGGGAAAAAAATGATAGTAGACTCCTGGTAGATTCTTAAAGCCTTTTTTGTTGTCTGTTTGTTTGTTTATTTCTTTTTTGAGACAGGGTCTTGCTATGTAGTTGAAGGTGGCCTTGAATTTACTATGTAGCCCAAGTTGGCCTCAAACTCATGGTGATCCTCCTGCTTCAGCTTCCTCTGTGCTGGGATTACAGACCTTTGCCACCACACCTGGGTAAACCCTATTCTTAAAAGGTCTTAACATTTGACTATGAAATGCTAGTTCACCTATATTCTAAGTCAATATTATTTTCAGGGTAGAAGTTTTTGATGTTGTAAGCAAAGGCTAACCAAGTTAGGACAGCTCCACAGTGCTCCTGTAACCCAAGAGTCCCCAGATGATGGACCACTTGTGTGTGCATTGCCGAGTGCTTCAGGCTGTGAGTCGGTGCACTAATATCTGGCCTTCCACACTACAGGTCTTTTATTAGGTCGACACTACCATTTTTCTTTGGCACTAGTTTATAATCACTGGAACTGAACAAATATTCTGGAACCCACATGAAGACTTATTATCTCAAAGTCAACAGCAAAACTCTAATCTTAAGGATTAGAGTGGGTTTTAAGAAAAATAATTGGTTCTTTGAAGTTAGGAGGTGGAGTTGATGGTATGGGAGTTTTATTTAAGACAACCAAGGTGAATTGTAATCTGCACTGCTCAGGGCTCTGAAGGGAATTTTGTCTTGTTCCTGAGAGAGGGAAGGAAAGAGAGACTGGGCGTGGCGGTGGACAGGGTATGGAGAGCCCTGCTGGGGAAAATCCAGGCTGACAGGCAGAGGAAGTTTCTCTCATGGGGTGCTGGCTCCACAGCATTTTTAAATGCTTGTGGCTCTATTTGAACTTGATTGCATTTCTGTTATGTAAACCTGTCCTCTTGGGATGGCTAAAAACAAAACAAAACAAACAAACAAATATATATATATATATTAGGGCTGTAAAGAAGGTGGTAAGACTGGGAGAAAGATGATGTGAGGAATGTATCTCAAGACTGTGTTTGCCAGCCAGGTGTGGTGGCGCATACCTGTAATCCCAGCACTCTGGAGGCTGAGGCAGGAGGATCGCTGCATGTTTGAGGCCAGCCTGGGCTACATAGTGAGTTCAAGGCCAGCCTGAACTGCATAGCAAGACCCTGTCTCAAAAAAAAAAAAAAGACTGCAAACTGAACTGGCAGGTCCTCTCACTGTGAAGTGCTCGCCACACCGTCCTTCCCCGGCTCCTGTCTGGTTCTGTTGAGCCTTCAGCTGCTTGTTAATATCACTTTCAAGAAAAGCTTTTCCTAACACTGCAAACTAGGTTAAGACTAGGGCCCTTTGACTACTATCTTTACACATCATCTCTCTTTCTTCATGCTCTTAATTGCCTTTAAATAATTGTGTGCTGATTGAATGGTACCATCCTTGAGGAATTGTGAGTTCCGTGAGGTTGAGTGTTGGCCAAATCCACTCTGACTACAGGTTCATGGCAGAGCCAGGCAGGCTCATTGCAGAATGCTCCACAGATGCCAGGACATCAATTTGCCAAGCAGTTACTTTGCCTTTTTCCATGTTTGGAATAAATTATTCTATTATGTTCTGCAGGGCCTGAGGGGCTCTAAATGATGGGACAAAGAACTCAGAAAGGCCAGAGTTTGTGTGCCCCTCTTTCTTTGCAGTTTTTAGATGTTGATATATCCCCCAATTCTGCCAAGTGCATATTTGTAACTGATTTTGACTCTGAAGTTAAATTGCTAATAAATCTGTATATGACAATGCACAATTGTCTATCTTTCTGTCCACATGTCATGAGTATATAGCTCTTCGATCTTAGCCAATGGCATAATACTCAACCCCACAGTCCCCTTTTTTATAGAATCATCAGTTTTGCCCCAGTTTTCTCTAATTTTAGCTCTGTAAACCAGGTGCCTTTACACAAAAGAATCAGCAGATAACAATCACTTAAGTCACACTAAAGCTTGTGTCACAAGTTGTGTATCGTGTGCAAGGCCAGGACTGTGGTGGGGAAAGAACAAACTAACAGTTCAGGTGTGTCAGAAAGTGAAGAGTTTTTGATACCCTGCAAGTGAGCTGCAGGTGCCATGCGAAGGCTATGGCCCATCCAAAGCAGCATCCCAGACAGGCTTTCTCTGGGTCAGCTGCACTTCGAGTGCCTCACAGGAGCACCTGTATTATGTCCACAGTTGCTCATTAAAGGAGCCAATCTGATAGGGTCCACTGCTTCGGCCCTCACAGAAGGCTCCTGGTGAGCACGAATGCTGAGCAAAGGGTCATAGGCCTTTGAATGTGCATGCTTCACATCTGAGGCGTGCTTATTGCTTACTTTTACATGTGGTTTAGCCTGGGCAGGATGTGAGGGGCGTTCAGTAAGCGCTGGTTCTGAGGAGTCTGCTGGGGCGAGAGGCTGTGTCCAGGAACTGTACTTGCCCTGCCAATTAACTCACTTTCCCCCAGTGAGCCCCACACCTTCCCAGACACTGAGAAAGTGAGTGAGCTGTTTTTGAAAGTCAGGTGATTCTCAATGAGTGTTTTAAAGTACCGTGGAACAAGAACCTTGAGTTGCTGGCTGCTGGCTGCTGAGAATACTCTTTTGAGCTAGATATCTGTGACTTTAGCACATCACACGGAAGGAGTGGAAGGAACTGACTGTCAAAACATAAGTTCCCCAATTCTTGTGTACGTACTAATAGGAACAAATCATCGAGGGGCTGTACATCTATAAAAACAAAATAGGATTGTAGCTAATTGGGAGCTCTGTCTCATGTAGTTATAGTCATCTGTGGATACTTGAATTAAAAAAAACACAAGGCACCATTTTACTTCATATGTTTATTAACTACGTCATTTATGGATAATTACGTATGCCGTTTTATGCTATTTTGATCAACCGTATGCTATTAATAATAGTAATGGTAATGGTAATACTATGCTATTAATAATAGTAAAGGCTAGATTAGACTCACAGGAAAAGAAAACTTAAAAACCTTTTTATTTTTCTTGAGACAGGGTCTGCCTATATAGTTCAGGCTGGCCTTGAACTCACTGAGTGTAGCCCTGGCTGGCCAGGAACTCATAGTGATAATCCTGACTCAGCCACCCGAGTGCTGGGATTAGAGGCATGTGCCACCAAGTCCAGCTAAAATTTTTCTTCAGTGTACCTACTGATAGCCAGCTATCTACCATTTACTAGGCTAGTGATCTTAGTTTTTTAAATCTTCTAAATGAGGATATACTTCATAATTCATATTTTGTCATGAAATTAAAGGAGTGAATGTGTATTATAAGAGAAATGGAGAGTCTAGTTCAATAAGTAAAGAAATGGTGTAGATTTTCTTATTTACCTAAATAAATCAGAATAGAAGGACTTAGTATATTCTAAGTGAATGGTGGTGGGTATCAAAGGCTATTCCACGGCTGGGGATTTAGCTCAGTGGTTCCACCGCCTGCTTCTCAAAGGCTATTCCACTGGATGCATTTAGAAGAGTGATTAATGGTTTTATTTCTAAATGTCAATATTGATAATACTTCAGGAATTACATCTTTTTCAACTATATGATAAGCAGTTTACTATACTCAAAGTGATTGTTTTAAAACTTTTTATATGTATGAGCAAATATCTTAGAAGACAGGACAGCGACTTGCCGAAATTCGAACCCACATAGTGCCTGACAGGAAAGGAATAAAGATATTTAATTTATAATCTTCCCTAGCCCTTCGTGAACAAAACGTGTCCACCGGGCCCCAGTTCTCTCAGTGGACGAAGCCTGTAGTAGCCCCTCGCCAGCCCTAGGTGGCGCACGTTAGCGTCCCCGGGGCGGGCCGTCCGGGCGTGCCTCTAGCTAGTCCCGTGGTCTCTCTCGGCTTCCGTGGAGCACGAGCAAGATGGCAGCCTTCGAGATGGTTAGGCTACGGCTTCAATTTGACTACCCGCCGCCAATCACCCCACATTGTACGGTCTTCTGGCTTCTGGTGGACCTGAACAGATGCCGAGTTGTCACGGATCTCATTAGTCTCATCCGCCAGCGCTTCGGCTTCAGTTCTGGGGCCCTCCTAGGCCTCTACCTGGACGGGGGACTGTTGCCTCCCGCCGAGAGCGCGCGCCTGGTGAGAGACAACGATTGCCTCAGGTGCGCGCGGCGGCGGGGTGGCGGGCGGGGGGCGGGGGGTGGCGCGGCGGACGCGCCTGCGCACGCCGGGGTCGCCACTGGCGCCCACAGTGACTTTGAGTGATATAGTCTAGGGTGGGTCTTAGGAATCTGCACCTTAACCACCACCCCAGGTTGCTCCTGATTGTGGGTGGACCAGACCTGGGACTGCTCTCGTGCTCATGAGCAGGCCCGGTGCTGCTTTGAGCCTAGGTTTAGCGAATGCTCCCTCAGCGAGGCACACTATGTTCCCTGCGCGGGAAAACCGGGCTTCCCTGGGCTGATCCGGGGTTGCGTGCAGGAGACCAGGAGGACAGACAGGGACAGTCGCGATTTCTCCATAACGGCGTGATGTTCACCTTAGGCACCCTGCCATGTCCCCAGAGGCTCCTGGTGTGTGTCATTTTGTGTCTCACCTAGGGGTTTTGGGTTCCCTCAAATAGGGTCCTTTTCCGCGGTGACTTGGGACACACAAAATAATTTTAAAGATGCTTTTGGAAATATAAAAAACTGATACTGAGGTGAATATCCAGGAGCAATAATAGCGAGCATTGCCATGCGCAGTTGAGTTGTCTCAGGAAGGTGAGGAGACGTGATCATGTCAGTTCAGATCAGATTTGTAATTGTGGCCTGATCACCCGATGAATTATGCTAGAATTGTGAACTAGGCTTTCTCTTGCTTGTCTTGTTCTGTTTTGCTGTGTGGGGGATTGAACCCGGGGGCTTGGACAAGGTAGGCAATTATTCTGACACTTATCTTCATTCCCAGCCCTTTTTATTATTTATTGTGAGACAATGCCTTGATCTTGCAATCTTCCTGCCTCAGGCTCCCAAGTAGCTAGGATGACGGACCTGTGCCACTATAACTGGCTCCCTTTGTTGTTAAATATTGCTTTCTGTAGAGTATATCAGAATCACAAAATTTCTCCAGAACATCAGGGAATTTCTCACTCTTAAATCAGGATCACTGTGATTTATTAGTAATATTCAGCTGTTTCAAATAACAATTTGAAAGGAGAATTCTTTTCCTTTTTTATTGTCTAGGTCTACACTCTCTGTAATTCAGATGCTCTTTAAATATGAATGTTATTAAGGGCCATGTCCCAATTAACGTTGCTTTCTAAACTTTGCCTAATGAATTAATGACTTGCTACTAGCTCACTACAGTTATACTTCAGTTTATGAATCATCTGGGATTTATACTCTCTATTATAAAAGTAACAATGTCAGAAACAGCCATGAAAGCTGTTTTAAGTAATAATTACAGCATGATGCCATGCAAATTCTTCCCAAATGCTTCAAATGCACAATTGCATATGGCAAAATATACGTCTTTGGGGGCCAGGAATGTAGCTTAGTGGTGGAATGCTTGCCTACTATGTACCCTGGGTTTGATCCCCTGCACTGTAAAATGAAAGTATCTCTGCAGCTGGCTTCAATGGTAAATGGAGAAGATCATAGGAAAAGACTAAATTTGAGAAGTTTTGGTTTTTTTGTTTCATGCTTCTAATCGTGAAGGTCATAATATGGCCACTGCAAGCCTCAGCCAGGCAGGAGGGAGGCTGCGGGAGCTGCTGGGGCCCAGAGGGAAGCCTCCCTCTCGACCCTACCTTCCTTGTCAAATTTTATCTTCAGTCAGTAGGACACGTTCATTAAAAACCTATCAATGTCTCTGTCAGAGGACTAACAGCACTTGTTGTGTTAAAAAAAAAAAAAGTTAGAGCTGACATTCAGCTAGCACTTGCTGTGAACCAGGCATGTTGTTATGTATAGTAGCCCATCTGAGTACTGTCATTAGTATCATTTTCATTTTTACAGAAGAGAAGTATTGAGGTAGTGATTTTTAACATTAATAACAGTGGCAGAAGGACTTCATGGCTGAGTAATATTCCATTATGTATGTATGAGTACATATATCATCCACATTTTCCTTAAGCACTTATCTGTAAAGAGATCCCTAGGTTGAGTCCATGTTTGCCAAAATTAGCCATATTAAAAATAAAATCTCAGCTAAGCATGGTGGCACATGCCTGTAGTCCCAGCACTTGGGAGGCTGAGATAAGAGGATCACTGTGAATTTGAGGCCAGCCTGGGCTACATAGTAAGTTCAAGGCCAGCCTGAACTACATAGCCTAACTATGTAGTGAGACCTGTCTCACAAAACAAAACAAAAAATAAATAAAATCTCATTTTAAAAGAAACACATATTCAAAACAAAAAACAGATGATTAGCATTGCCACCTTTTAGAGGAGGTGCCATACGTATAATGGAAAGATGGTGAGTCTTTCAGTTAGACAAACTGAGATTTGGGTGCCTTTTTGCTGCTTACCAGCTGTGAATCTTGGGGAAGTTACCCATGTGAGCTGTAATTTTGTAGCCCGTAAAATGAAAGCTACCTACTTTGGGATGGTATTTAGATCAGAGAACGTGTATAGAAAATGCTTGGGGCACAGCTGATATTTGGGATATTAAACTGACCGTGTGAAAGTTGACTGTAAGTGATGCTACACAGACCATTTCGTCAAAAGGAGTCTTTTGTCCTTAGGGGATGTGACATTTCTCCTGGACTGGTGGTAGTGACATTAGTGGAGTCATCTCAGTCAATAGATAACTTCATCCTGGAGCCAGGCTTTTGAACTTGCTCACTCTAGCATTTGCTCTATTTTGACAGAGTCAAGTTAGAAGAGAGTGCAATTCCTGAGCTTTCTGTCCCAGTCAGCAGTGGTGGCGGCACTCATTTCTCACCTGTAAAAGCCAAGAAGCGGCCTTCTAAGTTGGAGGAAGATGAAGAAACCGAGCTAGGTTACATATTCTCAAAGAAGCACTGGAAGAGGCAAGAGAACAGCAGCAGTCAGGAGAAGGCCTCGCATCTGGACCCAAAAGCTGTGCCAGGCCAGCCCGTGAGGAAAAAAACCAAGCGAGAAAACAAAGTAACTTGTGACAGGGTGGATGTTGATGACAGAGAGGCCAGAAGGAAGTCACTGCAGAAGGAGAAACGTGAGTGTAAGAAACAGACCAAGAATCGCAGGTCTCCAAAAGCACAGGCAGTAAAAGAATGGAGCATCCCGAACTGTAGTCCCCTCAAAGGCTCTGCCGGATACGGCATTGGCAAAGCCAAAAGTAAAGTCGGGGGAGGAGTGTGTGCAAAGCACAGTTCCACGTCCTCCTCAGAGTCAGAGTCTTCTCATGAATCGAGCAGCGATCCTCTGGGCAAGGCCCCGCTGGAAGCTGCAAATTCCTTGGAGAAACTGTCAGCCGAGTTACCAAAGGGCAGGCCCTCTACGAAACACACAGCTGCAAACAAACCGCGCACAAAAGCCGCCTTGAACCTTGCCCCTGGCAAGGGCAAGACCACCAGGGCCTCGTCCTCGGCTAGTTCAGATTCCAGTTTGGATTCGGTTGATGAAAATGTGGCATCCAAGCGCTCGCCGGAGCGCGGGGTCATCTTCTTAAAGACAGCTGGCCTCTTGGCAGGAAGGGGTTGTCCGGGGCCCGGGCCCTCGCCACAGACTCCAGGCGCCACAGGATGGAAGCCTTCTGAGTCGAGTGACGGCACACAGGCTCCTGTTCCTCTGCCCAGCACGTCTGTCCCCACCAGCTTCGGCAGAGGATGGGGCCGAGGAGAGGACCTTCTTTCTTGGAAGGGGGTGAGGGGTCGGGGCATGCGGGGCAGAGGTCGAGGACGAGGGCACGCTCTGTCCTGTGTCTTAAATAAAAACCCTGAATGTCAGAAGCAGCAGCCCCTAAGCGAGACCGTGACAAACACATCCACTATCATCCCGCTAAGCGAGACCGTGACAAACACATCCACTATCATCCAGGTCAGTATTTCTCATGCATCGCCCTGCTCCCCTGCCCACCGCGCATCTGGACTCCCCTCTCGCGTTCCCGTTTTCTCTCCAGTCACCAAGTCACACGACTGATGGTGTTTTTCAGAATCCAGTAGAGCTACCCAAGAAGGACTACAGTCTGTTACCACTGTTAGCAGCTGCCCCACAAGTTGGAGAAAAGATTGCATTTAAGGTATATTTTAAAACAGCAACAATTACACCGAAAATGGTTGGCTCCCCTTCCAAGTAGACTCTCTTAGCAAGTGATGTTAAATATGTCGTGTTTAGAAAAGCCCTTCTCCCTGGAATTGCAATGTCGCACAGGTTCACGGTGGAGTGGGGGCTCAGACACCTTGGGCACTTTGGGTTTTCTTGGGGGTGGTGGGAAGAGCGTGGAACAGGGCAGTGTAAGAGGACTGGCGCACTCGTGGGGTTTTTTGTTCTTTTTCAGCTTTTGGAACTAACATCTGATTATTCTCCTGATGTCTCTGACTACAAGGTAAGGTTGTTCACTTAAAAGTAATTAAGTTAGTTGGGTATGGTAATGTGTGCCTGTAGTTCTGGGGAGGCTGAGGAGGATCACTTGAGCCAGGGATTTCACGGCCAGCCTGGGCAATACAGTGAGATGCTGTCTATACAAAGAAATTTTGTTAAAAATTGAGTTGTCACTATAATAAAACTAAAGTTATATTTAATACTAGTGGATGTTATAGTTTTTTTAAGGAAATAATATAATAAAGTAGAAAATGAAAACATTGTCAAGCCCGGCACGGTGGCACACGCCAGTAATCCCAGCCCTTGGGAGGCTGAGGCAGGAGGATCGCCATGAGTTCAAGGCCAGCCTGGACTACATAGTGAGACCTTGTTTCGAAAAACAACAAAGAAACATTATCGAAGTGTAAACTTGTTAATATGACCATAAAGTCTCCCAATATTTTTTTCCTAGGAAGAATACAGAATGAAAATGATGAACTTGATTTTGTGTGCGTGTGTGCATGTGTGATGTGTGTGTGTGTGTGTGTGTGTGTGTGTGTGTGGTGCCAGGGAGCAAACTCAGACTCTTGCACATAACTAGGCAAGTGCTCTGCCACTGAGCTACTTCCAAGCCCTGAGCCTGAGTCCTTTTCTGTTTTTGAGACAGGGTGTTGTTTTGCAGTCTCGGCTGGCTTCGAACCCACTTTATAGCCCAGGCTGGCCTCAGCCTCAAGATCCTCCTGCCTTGGCCTCCCAGGTGCTGGCATTCCAAGTATATGCCATTCCCCTAGACTGATCTTGATTTTTAGTCATTTTTTTCCTAAACAATTTAGATACACAAACTTATTTGAATGTCCATCCCTCCGTGACTTTAAACTTTGAAGGAAAATAATAGCTCTCAGGCAGAAATTTTTTATTATTATCATCCTGTATATATTTTTTAACAGTGCCGGGAATCAAACCCAATGCTAAGCAAGCATTTTTATTGAGATAAAATTCACATCACATAAAATTTACCGTATTAAATATTTTAATGTCTACAAATCAGTGTGGTTTTTTTTAGTGTATTTACAATGTTTTACATACTGATATTTGACGTGGATTTTTATTTTTGAAAGGAAGGAAAACTATTAAGCCACAATCCAGAGACCCAGCAAGTAGATATAGAAATCCTGTCATCCTTACCTGGTGAGTCTTTTAGAGACAAATAAAACTGTAGGCTCCTCATGTTTCCAGTGGGTTCTGAACAGTCCTGGGCAGAGGCGTTCTCTTCATTGCTCTGTCTGGTCTCTGATTGGTGCTCTGCACTGCCAGTCAGCGCCCTGCAGCCCGGGGTGTGCTCCTGCTCCTTGGGGTGAATGTCTTCTAAGTGGTGGTATTGGATTGGTTCTCAAAGCTGTCAGACCAGTTGTTCTAATCACTGTAATTACATTCTTTTATAAAAGATTATATAAGCTGGTGAAATTGATTGCAAAAAGGAATATTTCTAGGTAACCAAAATTGAAGGCTGACTCAAGAGCATTACAGAAAAAGTGCTATTAAATTATATGTGGGCAGGTCATCTGTAAAAGATTGGGAGGAATTCAGTAAAAACTTTGGAAGATTCTGCACTTAGATTGCCCTGCAAAGTGTTTGATTTGTGATCACTTTAAAAAATTACTTCAGGGCCGGGGATTTAGCTCAGTGGTTCCACCGCCTGCCTTGCAAGCACAAGGTCCCTAGTTGGATCCCCCGTACCAAGGAAAAAAAAATTACTTCAAGTTGGGTGTGATGATGCACGCCTGTAATCCCAGCACTGAAGAGGCTGCGACAGGATCACTTCGAGTGAGGCCAGCCTGGGCTACATAGTGAGACCCTGTCTCAAGGAATTCAAAACCAAACCAGACAAACAAAAAACACTTTCAGGAAGATGGTGGAGTAGTGAACAGCAGAGAAACAGTCTGTCCAAGATTTGGTGTCCAGATGCTGGAGTATAGCAACGTGAGGAAGAGGAGAAGGAGGAGGGAAGTGGGTCGTTGGGACCCAGCAAGGATCTGAAGCGAGAATTGAAACCCACAGGGAGACCAAAGAGAAAAACCACTTCACATCAGCCAAGTGTCGTGGCACATGCTTGTAATCCCAGCACTCTGGGAGGCTGAGGCAGGAGGATCCCAAATTTGAACCCAGCCTGGGCAACTCAGTGACTTAGCAAGACCCTGCCTCAAAATAAAAAGTAAAAATGGGCTGGAGATGTAGCTCAATCCAAAGACCCTGGTACAAAAAAAAAAAGAAAATCTCAAAACTGGAAATTGTGGACAATACATTAAGAGTATAGTTTATACAAAACAAAACAAAACAAAAAAAACACATCTCTGCTTAGTGAACTCTTAATAAGACCTGCTCATCTCTATTTCAAAACATCGATAAATGAACCTTCTTTTGTGGTTCAGTCAGGATAGACTGATGTGCGCATACACACACTCTCATGTACTATTTGATTAATTTGTGTATGGTGGTGCTGGGGATTGAACCCAGAGCCTCGCATGTGCTAGCCAATCGCATGCTGTCTTAGTGTCTCCCTGCGTCACCCCTGATTTCCGCCACCAGTTACTGGTTCTGAGAGTCTGGAAAAAAGGGCTTTTACTACAGAGAGCTCAACTTGGAATATGTTGTGGGGTCCCCAGCCCGAGAGCAAAGATAGCCCTTTTCATTCAGCAGACTCTAAAGCAATTAATTGTTTCTGTTTTTGATTAGTAACATAGTAAAAGATAGACCATTTCAGTAGAAATGAGTGAAAAGAGTTTTCAGCAAAGTCCCTTCATGATACGAATTAAATGATTAGAGGCATTTACACCGGTTTTCCAGCTTTCTTCCAGTATGGTCTCATTTGTAGAAGCCCTCATTTTTAGGAATGGTGGACAGAGAGGTTTGTTGATGGCCAAATTCCACAGACAACCCAATCGCTGCTTGTCAGGTGATTGACAGTGGTGACATCCAGTTTCTTCCTTTGGGCCCTGTGAAATAAATGACTTTAGTGCCTCTCTCTGAGAAATACAAGCAGTCCTTGCTTCGCATGGTTCTGATAAATGTGAATTTTAGTTGCCATGGTTTCAATAGCACCAGTCCCCCAACAATCCCGATGTGTTCACTGTAACCACATGAAGTACTGATAAGTGCAGGCAGTGAGCCCCAAGTAGGCAGTGCATCGTGATCGCTGACCATTCCCGTCTCTCCTTTCAAAGTCCAGCAGGGATCTGTCGCTGTGCATCTCGCATCTGTGAGCAGGCAGCAGTGTGCTGGGTGAGTGTGCTGCCTCCCTGTCTCCAGATGGTAAATGCACATTTTCATCAAACGGATAACTGAAATAGAGAATTATCCCACAAAGGTGAAAGCTCAGTGGAGAAACAAAAAGGCAATTGGAAGTGCATACAAATGGAATTTAAGGGGCTGGGGATTTAGCTCAGTGGTTTTGCTGCCTGCTATGCAAGCGCAAGGATCCGAGTTTGATCCCCGGTACCAAAAAAAAAAAAAAAATCAAAAAACAAATGGAATTTAAGGAGTTGCAGATGAAATAGCAAATGGTGGGAACGCTGCCATTGCTGTTGGTTCCATGACTTCCTGACAAAATTGAGGACAGTGGCTCAAATGAAGAGGTTGCGAATTTTCCCAGAAGTGACACCAGCTAAAATCTTCACAAAGAGCCCACAAAGTGAAAAAAAACCCAGACTTTCAGAACCGTTTCATGATGTTAGATGCTCAAAGGATAAAAATGCCGGAAGCTGATCCAAACCTGATGATTCCTCAAGGCGTGGGAAAGGTGCTCACTTGGCATTGTATGGTTCACAACCAGACCACAAGCATTGTCCCAACTATCCTGAGAAGTAATATGTAGCATGAAAATACTTTTACTGTTTTTTAATTTCCTTATACAGTAAAAGTTTTTAATATTTTGATGGCAAATTTTTAGTTTGTCAGAGAATCGTAATTTTCCCTGTGGATTATGAAGACTGCCAGGTGTGGTTTCAACTTGCACAGTCATTTTTCTGAGCCCATACTAGTGGGCAAGGCTGAAACCTGAGTGTGCTCCAGGTAGTAGGCGTGTGTGGTTTCTGAGGAGAGGGCACCCTTTCATGTCACTGTCCTTGTTGAAACAGTTATCTTTGGGGATTATCTTGTTGCTCCACATTCTTTTCTGGGAGTACTAGTGACAGTTCAAGCTCCTTTCTTTCTGTTGAACGACAAGTTGTCTCTGATAAATGGCCAGGAAGCTCACTGTTGCTGGGACAGGGTTCTCTGAGAGCCTTCTGTGACTGAATGCTCTGTGCTTTCCAGCCTTCACAGCAGTTGGGTTTGTTGTGACTATTTTCCCAGTGATGTAAATTCTCCATGCACTGCATAAGAAATGACTTACTGCCTTTCCTCCTTCCCTTCTGGTTTCAGCTGTGAAGGAACCTGGGAAATTTGACTTGGTTTATCACAGTGAAAATGGAACCGAGGTGGTGGAGTATGCTGTGATGCAGGAGAGGAGGGTAGGTGCGAATCTCTTCCCATGTTGCTTGGTCCGGCATTCTCCTTTGCCGAATAACCTGGGGTACGGAAGGTGATCCTGCAGCTCCCTGGACTCCCTGTGTATAAACTGCCAAGGATCTAGGCCCTGGGGGCATCTCGTATTCCCTGTGGAGTAGCAGTAACAAGTGCCAGCTGCCAAATCAGGGTGCCACCAGGGACCCCAAAGAGGCTATGTGGAAAGGTGCCCAGACAACACAGGGGTAGAGTTAAAAATTATAGAGTTAAAATTATAGTTAGGCAGGGCATGGTGGTATGCCTGTAATCCCAGCACTCCATTGGCATATACCATTTGGAGAAGGGCATAGAGTGTATAGTTTGAGGTTTTCCCAGGCGATCACACACACAGAACCAGACTCAGATCAAGAAACAGACCCTGAATGGCCCTCAAGTCTCCCTTGTGTGCCCTGCAGCGACTGCACCCCTGCAGTTCTGACTTGTGAGAGCAGGGGTAGTGTAAAGAATGGCAAAGAAGGATGATTCTGTCCTTTAAATTGCTGTTTTAGGAAGTACAGTATATGGTTTAGACTTTTTTTCAGGTGATAAACTACCAGAGTTGCTAGCCATGGCTGGCTTGTAAATAGAATTTATTCTTAAGAAAATGCTCTCTTGGGCTGGAGATTTAGCTCAGTGGTTCCAGCGCTTGCCTCAAAAGCGCAAGGACCTAAGTTCGATCACTGGTACCAAAAATTTATTCTTAAGAAAATGCTCTCTTGGGCTGGAGATTTAGCTCAGTGGTTCCACCACCTGCCTCAAAAGCGCAAGGACCTAAGTTTGATTCCTGGTACCAAAAAAAAAAAAAAGTGATGAATCCAAGGAAGATATGCTAATATAGTCTAATACAGAGCTAGCAGACATGATCACAGATTCTAAATATTCATTTT